TATTAGAGATCAAGAAGGATTGTCCCAAGAAGGCTGGTATCAATATTAATGATGAGAACAGTTAAGGGCAGTATTTCTCATTTTGGGCAGTTTGAAGAGGGGTGGACTTCACCCCCCAGATTTCCCGACCCAGCCATACTGGCTAGGGAATTCTGGGAGTTGAAGTCCACCCATCTTCAAGCTGCCAAGATTGAGAAATACTGCCTTAAACTGTTCTCATCATTAATATTGATACCAGCCTTCTTGGGACAATCCTTCTTGATCTCTAATAAATCCTGCATAATAGAAACTTGCTAAGATCTTAAAAAGCTGGAAGAAGCCCCCAATGGCACTGAACAAGATGCAAAGCTATACTTCTGGAACAAAACACTAAGAGAACTGCTGCGTGTTCAGGGAGAATCAGAGCATATGGCCAAATAAGGGAGCATAGATTTACAACCTCAGAAATGCATGCTACAGATGAAAACTACTACATAACAGCACAAAAACACCGATAACTTTTAACGTTTATCATTTTAAACATTTGTTCCTTTCTGTTCCACAGTACAAAAATAATAATTTGGATAGAGCCAAAGCTCCCTCTGGCGGTCATATCAGCCCAATTTCACCAGATGGATTGTAAAATGGTGAGGGGACGATCTTCTACCAGAACAATGTTAGATGTAACATTGAATGCATGGCTTTTAACAAGCACAAAAAAGAAGAGAAGAGAAGAGAAGAGAAGAGAAGAGAAGAGAAGAGAAGAGAAGAGAAGAGAAGAGAAGAGAAGAGAAGAGAGAAAATAGCATCAAGGAAAGGGGCAATAACTTTTGATAGGTGAGCAGTGAATTCACTTTTGCCCCACAGCAGGTCTACCATCCCTGGACTTCAAAATAGCACTAGATAACAGCAAAGAGATTCACAGCACTAATTTTGCAACCATCTAGCCCAGAGGTTTTCAAATTTTTTCAGGCTGCAGACTGTCAGTGAAAAAAGAACATTCCTGGGACCTTTGATCAAGAGGTAAAGCTCTAGTGATAGAAAACAGGCTGTGTTTGAGCGAGCATTGTTGGGGTTTTTTTGCCTCTGGTTCCACGAAACAATAGTTAGAACCCCCCTAATCTAGTGGTCCTTCAGGTTTTGCTGCCCAAACTTGGTAACCCTACACCTCAGCTTTCCTCCTTTCTCTGCAGCTGAGATTTGTTAAATTTGTCTTTCGATATCGGCCTGTTCTTTTTTTGCCCACTGCTAATGTTAAAATCCTCACATCCAAAAAGTTTTTGCCCGCTGCAAACATCATCAGTGGGTGCAATAGCCGTGTTGCGATTACGACATGGGTGCATAGATTTGCAGAGGTAATTGTCAACCATCAATCAAGAACCCTAATCCTAACCCACTTGGTGAGAAAAACGGTGCAGGAGAGCCAAACTAAGCAGATGTAATGTGTGAGAGTCACTGACAGGCAGAAAAGGAACAGGAGCCTGGTCTGGCCTGGATGGACAGAATACTGAGAGTTGAAGTCCACACATCTTAAAGTTGCCAAGGTTGGGAAATATTGATTTAGTTAGTTGTTCTTAGATGTGTTGTTTGCCTACTTTTCTTAGGCTAACTTTTTTTGTGCATTTGAGTTGACCTTAGTAAAAGAGTAGTATTCTGAGGATTCTTGATTCTATATCACCATTATTATCATTGTATAAAATAGCCCATCATTGGACCTGGAGCAGGTCCTGGACATCTTTTCAAGCCCCTGTTCCACCAGGGAGCTCACTAGTTGCTTTTCTCCCAGCCCAACCCAACCGAACCCACTTTAGAAGGTGGTCGTTGCTAGTATAAACATTAGGGCTATCCTTGAGATGATGCATAGTTCATTAAGCCAAACGTCCTTTGAGTCTAGTGTGATAGCAGGATCACACTAGAGCAAGGATTCCCCAACTGTGAGGTGTACCTCCCTTGGGGAGGTGCAGAGATCAGGGGAGGTGTGAAGATATTTATTTTTTATGTCTTTATTCAGTCAGTTTGGTGTAGCGGTTAAGGCACCGGGCTAGAAACCGAGAGACCGTGAGTTCTGGTCCTGCCTAGGCACAAAGCCAGCTGGGTGAACTTGGGCCAGTCCCCCTCTCTCAGCCCTAGGAAGCAGGCAAGGGCAAACCACTTCTGAAATCTTGCCAAGAAAACTCTGGAACCGGCTGCCTTCCTTTCTCCAAGAATCGTGCTCGGTGCTCAAGTCGTTAGTCCAGGCAGTCGCCAGGAGTCAACGCTGACTCAAAGGCACCAAATAAATTAAAATAAAGTTTCCTTGTATTGTTTTCATTGTTCATTTGTGTTGATTTTGGTGCTTGGATTTTTAGGGGAGGTGCGTACATTAAGATTATACTAAAGGGAGGTGTGGTGGGAGAAAGTTGGAACCCCTGCACTTGAGCCAGCTATCTAGTGTGATTTTTCATTGCCTTCCAGGATGTTTTTTGCCATTGCGCAATCTTCCTTGTCTCCCATCCAACCAAGATCTAGGACTGACCCTGCTTCTCTTTCCAAGATCAGCCACGCGCGCCCACGTGCTGCCCCCTAACGAAGTGCGGCTGCGGCTGCCTTCCTTTCTCCTGGGATCGTGCTCGGTGCTCAAGTCGTTAGGACTGGCAAGCGGAGTCCTGTACAGGAGTCGCCGCCGGATTGGCCGTGGCGCGCGCTCACTCGCTCGCTCGGCACTCGACTCCCTCAGGTGGGCAGAGCGCGCCCCGCGCAGGCGCAAAGAGGGCGGCCCGAGAGGCGGGACAGACCCGAGCGGGCGCGGTCGCGGTCGCTGCTGCTGCTGCTGCTGCTCCGTCTCCCTCACGCGCGGCCGGGCTGCTCCGGCCCGTCTCCCTGCCTTCGCGGAGATGGCGGACGAGGAGCTGGAGGCGCTGCGCAAGCAGAGGCTGGCCGAGCTGCAGGCCAAGCACGGGGTGAGGCGAGCAGTCCCCGCGGTCTCCCAGCCGTCCCCTGCCCTACCGACCCTCGTGGAGGCTGGCTCCTCACGGCGCCCCCTCAGCCCAGCCCCAGGGCGGTCGTGCGTCTCGTGGGAACGAGGCCCCGTGGTTCTACCCAAGGGGGAGGGGGGAAGTGGCCTAGGATGATGTATGAAGTGGTGGACATTCGCCCGATCCGCCCTTCCCCTCATACGTTCCCTCCCCCGTCGGTTCGCACAACCTGCTGACGCGTGTTTATATCCCTGTTGTGGGGAGCCAGCCTGTTTATGGCTCGGGGCTTGAGGTGAACTCCGAAAATGCATTGATTGAGAGATCAGGTTCAACATGTTATATGGGAAACTTGACTCCTTAATTTTGGCCTCCTCTCTTATCCTGCTGGAATAAGACCCATTGGGTGGGTTGGCTCGGCTCATTGCGGTAAGCTGTGGCTTGTCTAACGTTGTTTGGGGTATAAATCACATTTGGCGTCATTTGCACAACATGCTGAGCCAAAATAAGCTTTGTAGTGATGTAACGCGATGTGCATATCAGGCTACAGAGTCTTCTTCCAGAGGCTTCTTTTCCATTATTATTGTTAGCTACAGAGTCTCCTCCTACAGGCTTCCTTTCCTTAATACTATCACTACTAGTTATTAGATTTTTATCCCACCTTTTTAATATATAACTCAAGGCAGCAAACATACCTAATTCTTCTACCTCCTCTTTTCCCCACAACAACCCTGTGAGGTGGGTTGGGCTGAGAGAGGGGGACTGGCCCAAAGTCACCCAGCCGGCTTTCATGCCTATGGGAGACTAAAATTCAGAGACTCCAGGTTTCTAGGCCAGCACTTTCACCACTACACCAAACTGGCTCTCACTTAATGGAGATACGGTTTTTGTTTGTTTGTTTTTGTTTTCCCATGGAGGAGAGTTAGTTTGCTAGTTTATTTTTCAATTTCTATGTAAGAAAGCCAGCCTTTCTCTGGGCTACCCCACTTCAGAATGAGATGAACTAGAAGTAAATGCTCTTCCTGTTGGAAAAGTACCATATATACTTGTGGGTAAGCCAAGAATTTTAGGTGCCAAAATACACCCAAAAAATCAGGTTCAGCTTATCTGCAGATGGGCTTTTCCAGGAGTATACACAGTAGTTTTGTTTCTGTAGGGAAGGAATATGAAATGTTATGCTTTTGACATAGGGAGCATTGAGGATTGTATATATTTGCAGTTTGTATGTTTCAAAAGGGATAGAGGCCGGGCAGTTTAAAAGATCCAAACAAAATGTTCCTTCCTTTGACTCTTAAATTCTTCCTTACTAGAACACCATAATAGTTGTGCATTTAAGAGCCATTTGATATTGAACTGTTCTGCCCTTAAAGCCTTTGTAATATTAAGGTGATAACATGCATAATTTAGCACTTGACTAATCAGAGCTCAGAATAAACATCTTCAGTTTATTGCTGCAGTTACTAATAACATGATTATTTCTAACCTTTCAGGATCCTTCCAGTGATATTGCACAACAAGAATCAAAACAGAGGTATTGCTGTGTTACATTTAACTAACATCAGTTGTTACTAGAACTTCTCGTTCCTTTTCTCTCCCTCTAAGCGCAGTGGGGCATTTCCCAAACTTATCACTCTCAGTCACTTATTGATGTTCAGTTTAAGATCTGTTGTGGCTCTAAGAATATTTATACCATATGAACCTGATTTCATGTGTCTTTCCAATCACATTCATTTCAGGGTATATATTCTCTTTCAAAAGCATGCATTGCAGCATTTTAAATGGAATATTATTATTTGGCCAACCCTTTAGAAAGTTCCAGCCTTCCAAAAGAGAAAGCTGTAATTAGTGTGCACTGTCTTTTGCTGCAATATAAATGCAGGACTTGCTAGGTTCTCATTTGACAGGGAACTACCAAGAGAAAAATGAGAACCTACAGTAAGAAATTATATGATTGATTAGTATTCTCTGCAAACAATGGGATCGGTGGCTTTTTGCTCTCCTGTTTAAATGTCACCAGTGTTCTGTTGCTATAAAGTGTGGACATTTTACTGTTCAATGCTGAAAGGTATAGTCATGATAAGTTGGTAAAATAAATGGGTTGTATGTTTTTCTAGTTAATTTCTTATTGTGATATGAGCTTTCTGGGACAATTCTGTCACCTTGATTGAAAAGTTTGCTCTGGCAAGCATTTATAGATTTAAAACTGACTTGATTTTAAGTTCTTGAAAAATGGTAGAAATTAAACATATGTTAATGTTATAAAATCAGTGTGCTGGAATGGGGAAGAAATTCCACAAGTTCATATATAACTAAGTCATGCATTGATTTATAAAATTAATGAATATTATAATTAGTATTTTAGTAGAAAGGATAACATTTTTGGAGCAATTTGTATTTTCTGCTGTATAAAATTATTTTGCTTACTATTATAGGGAAGCTGAAATGAGAAATAATATTTTGGCTCAAGTTTTGGATCAAGCAGCACGTGCCAGATGTAAATATTTATTTATTTAACATATTTATTTGTTTGATGTATATGACCACTTAATTTGCAAAAAGCAATTTTGGGTGACTTAAACATTTGTAAAAGCATTTTAACAAGGGAGTTGAAAATAGAATACAGTACATATCTGGAACAGAAAACAACAGAGTAACAAAAATTACAGAATTCACAGGCCAACCAGCATGTATCTCCTTCAAGATTTTTCAGTCAAGGTGGGTTCATCCAACATTCTGGCCCAATGCCCAGGGAAGAACCAGATTTTCAAGAGCCTTACAGAAAGACAGAAAAGCCTTGGTGTCCACGCTGTCTTTTGATTGAAGTCTT